TTTCCAGACCAGTGCAGATGTACCAATTCATCTGGAAATTATCCCTCCAAGTCTGGTAAATAAACAGCATTAAACCTTTCAGTGCAGCTCAGGGCCATGAGAGCTTGACTCATCATCTCCTAGTTTCACATATTTCACCCACTGTCGTGCTGTCTCTAGATTTACTGTGACCCTTACCAATAAATTCTGGACACTAAAGACAACTTTTAGCCACTAAAATTATCCTAATTCAGCTAGACAGCTACTTATCCCTGCCCTGTGACAGTCATTCTGGGACTTTTTCATTAATAGAGGGTTAGAATGTCAATAATGGAAGGCTACAATTAATTTTTCAATTATTTTTGTACAAGTTTACCTTTACCTGATTTTTTTACATAGCAAGTTTACATTTACATCCATGTTTTGTTTTGGTACTTCCCCTATTTGAAGGACTTCTAGTGCTTAGGAGAGCTCTTTATCTTTTGGGTTTTTTGGGTTTTTTTCACTCTTTAGCCTGCTCAATTAGTTTGGAACCTCTTTTTAAAAGCTTTATTTTCTAGAACAAGACACCTCAGTGTTCTCATGGGATCTGTGATATTTTAAACAGAGAGCCAGGGAAAATGAAGAACTGTTGTTGCTGTTTGTGTTACCAGTTGCAGAGCAGAGTATTTGCAGCACATCCCTGCTGTTACTTGGGCAATCATGAAGGGCAGGCAAGTGGCACCAGAGGAGAGTGCAGAATGAACAGATAAAAGTCAGAAGGTAGGATTTGGCTATGCAGATGAAAGGCATCAGCTCTGTCATTGCCTACCACCCTTCAGGAGAGAAAAAGGCAGTTGGGAGCTTTCTCCTCCTCCAGGGAATTGTTTGCTGGGCAGTGTCCAGGAAAGAATGGCTGCAGAACTATTGCAGGGTGTGTTTTCACCCTGGAATGCCAGGCTTCCATTAGGGCTGAGAGAGGAGAAGAGGGAGCAGAAGGGCACAGAGCAGGTTTCTGCCACAGCTGCTGGGCATGCTGTCTCCTGGCTTCCCATTACTGCTCTAAGGCAGCATCTCATCCTGTAAAGGCTTAGGAAAGCACCACTCTGCAGGACTCCCCAAACTCACACTGCAGAGGCTCTGCAGCCCTCTGTGGAAGCTCTCAGGGATTCTAATGGCAAGGGGAGAGATGCAGAGAAGTGAGGTTTGGTGTGCTTGTAATGAAATGTCTGGGATTTGACACTGCAATTTGGGCTTGCTCCTACTCCACAAGCTCCTCCCAGCCTCACCCAGAAGGGAATGCAGGGAGGAAGGGACAGGGGGCTGGACTTTATCCTGCAGCACTAAGAATTTAGAACTCAAAAGTGCAAGTGTCTCATTTCCATTTTAAATGGGGCTTGTAATTCCCAAAGTAGCATTGCAGGAGAGTAGAGTGAGTTCATTCATATACAACAATTACCAATTTTTAATGGTACCCCACTGCTGAATCAATATCTGTGACCAGGGAGGCTCCTGGCTGCCACTGGGACAGGGCATTTCCTCAGCACATTTCAGCTGGTCTTGTTCATGTGGGGCCAGGGAATTCCTGCCCCTAACTCCAAAGGATTAAGGGTCTCACCAGTGACCAGGAGCAGTTCCCAAGAACGTTTTTCTGTGGTGTGAGGCTCGTTGACTTCACCCAAGTCAGCAGACCTCGTTGCCATGAGATGGGCAGCCCAGGAGTCTCTGTTAACCAGGCTCACAAATGTGTTTGTATGGCAGTGAGGCATCACTAAGCAAAGGGCTGTACTGCAGTGGCTGCAAGCCAAGCCAGGCTTTCAGTTTTCCTGAGGGAAAGGACTTGTCCCAGCCCCAAAGGTGTTAGGGGATAGGCTGCCCATGGAGCTGCACCAGAGGTTTTCTTGTTGATTTGTATAAATGCTTCCACCATACAGAAAACTTTACAGGGTTTATTCCCTTGTTTTAGTGTGGCCAGGAAACACAGCAGGGCTCTGCTCATCAGTCCTCTTCCCAGCTCTGCTCCTGCCTCCCCTTGTGGCTTTGCAGAACCAACTCTGATCTCTTTTCTTCTGCCTGCCTCCTCATTTTGCAAGGTGATTCATGAAACTTCATTTCAGACTAACACTGTGTAGCCTCTGAAGCTTTACTCAGCTTCTAAAGGCAGAGTAATAACATGGCAACAACTAAATTTTAATTTGACAGTTATCATAAGATCTTGTTTGATAGCCATTAAAATTAGAATAAATGGAGGGGGGGAGTTTTGAAGTGTAAAACCTATTTTGTGGGTGGAAGAACTTACCCCTCATGATTCAGTACTACAGAGTGGGATTGTTCATTCCTGTGAGCCCAATTGTTTTCAGCAGCTCTTAACACAAATATGTTGGCTCACTCAGAAGATCTGTCACTTTTTTCTTTTAAGTATCTGCCACTTGATCCATAAAGACAGCTCTAGAAATTCTTCAGTAGAAGCCACTGGCTTTGCTGTCCCATCTCAGCCCTTAAGTGCTCAGAGATGAAGGAAAAGAAGTGGTCAATGACAGTCCCATTGCAGAAGTGGAAGCAAGGAAGCACTGCTCTAGAGAGTTCAGGATTCCTGAAAGCAGCGTGGTGAGTGTGCTCATAAATCATCTCTCCCTGGGTCGTTCCTAGCACAGGCCGTGCAGCAATTCACTCTTCCTCCAAAACCCTCGCCCCGACACAGGTTTCTATCCATCCCACGTTCATGGAGGTACCGCCCTCTGGAGGAAAAGCCACAGAATAAAGACCACGCTTAGGAAAGAGTCAGGAAAAACGGCACAAAAGTCAGGACTGCCTCTGGAATCCCTATGTCCATGTCTGCAAGGGTGTAAAATGCTGCCCAGGAGTAGCCTGGTGTTCTACAGCCTGTTTATGCTCACTGCAAAATTCTGGAATAGGACCTGCCACCAGCTGCAGAACTACACATCTGACAAGTAAAACTTCAACCTACTTCATCCTCTTGGGTTATGGGTTCGCTTTTTCATGTTTAGAAAGATAAATGGGGTCTTTTAAAAAGAAAAAAAAACACAACCAAACTCTTTAAAAAAATTAATTGTCATATAAATCATGTAGTTAACAAACTAAAAGTGTAGGTGCAGGTGACATGCACACCAAGGGCACAAAAAGATATGTCCTTGGAGATGACTAGATGAAGGGATGTAGAAGAGAAAGGGCTAGAGAAAGGGCTTAGCCACCTTTGGCTAACTCAGTGGCCTGGCAGCCACGTGCCAGGGCACCTTGTTGCTACTCTAGCTTTATTTATCAAAGCAGCAAGAAAGATGAACCAGATTGGGAAACTGATCCCTCCAAAAGGAATCAATGTGAGCAAGGACATGCCACAATTCATACACAGAAAGTACAAATAGTCCAAAGTAATAGTAAACAATTAATTACAAGACCTATAACAAATTCTCAGAGAGCTCAGGGTGATTACTTCAAACCACTATTCTGAAATCCCTCAGTGGGCTGCTTTAAGCAGCTGTAGGTGGTGGAAGTTACTCTCAACCCCAACTGGCTGATTCCCAGACATCAAGTGGACAATTGCCTTGCCAGGGAATCAGTGCCAAGAGCTGTTTGCAGTGTGTACCAAAGCACTTAGAGCCAAAACTAAAGGAAAAGTTCAGGGACACATGTTGTGCTAAACTAAAAAATAAATAATCACAAATCCATTGGAACTAAAGAAAAAACTCTTATCCAGAATATCCTGGGATGCTGTAAAAACTCCACAGTGTTGATGTCTAAACTGAAATAGAAACAAAATATTGAAACCAGAGGAAATAAACACATCAATGAGAATATTGCTGTTTATACAGCAGCAAAGCCACATCAGAATGTTTTTACATAATGCATCTTGTCAGGAGGACACATCCTCATAGGCATGCCCATGTATGTATTTATACCCACAGACACATCCCAGTGTCCCAAACAGGTTCTAGCTTCCTGCCTCCCTTTGTTGCCTCTTCCGAGGATTTTGATGCCTGTCTGGAAGTTCATGTCACAGGGGGTTAACCCTTTCTGGCCAAATTTTTTTTGCAACTTTTGCTGCCGTGTGGACTGTAGACATTTTCCTGAGAAGCCACAGCTCACACCATTTTCACAGTCTCCTCTCTGCACTAAATACACAAAACAAACAAACAAAAAAATCCTTATTTATTCTAAATAACTCTGGCAGAATTTTAAGTGGGATTGAGCCCCTTTAGTTCCACGTTTTTGTTTAGCCATTATATCCTTGGATTCAGCTTATTCAAGCAAATTTCCTACCATTTCCTGGCGATTTATCAGATGAATGCTTTCCTCCTGCTTACCAAAAGACACACAGGTGAATTTCAGTATTTATTTTTATTATTATTATTATTATTATTATTATTTTTATTTTATTTTATTTTATTTTATTATTTTATTATTATTACTTTATTACTTAAAACATATTATTAGGATGTTGTTATTAAGATATTACTATTGTTATTACTATTATTATTATTATTATTATTATTATTACTATTATTATTACTATCATTTTTATTACTATCATTATTATTCAAATTCCTTCTTTAAAATTGGCCCGTACCTTTTTTCCCCCCGCCCCCATTTCACGGAATAATCACCAGACATGAAGCCACGGCATCCCACAAAGGAGCCCCTGCTAATGGAAGGCAGCAAACCCGTCCTGTATCAAATGTTTACATACAAACCGCGGCCCGAAACCCTTCCCCCGGAGGGAAATTAAAAAAAAAAAAAAAGGAAAGGAGGGTGAAAAGGTAAAGAAACGCCCCCAGCTCCGGCGGGGAGCGCTCCCGGCCCGGCTGCGGCGGCGGGGGCTGCGGCGGCGGCGGCGCTCCCGCTCGGCGCCGGGAGCGGCCGCGCCCCCGAGCCCGCGGCGCTCCCTCGGCCCGGGCGCGCAGAGCCGGCAGCGCGCAGGGGCGCGCAGAGCCCGCGGCAGAGCACAGGGGCGCGCAGAGCCGGCAGCGCACAGAGCCCGCGGAGCACAGGAGCGCGCAGAGCGCACAGGGGCGCGCAGAGCCCGCAGGGCCCCTGGGCCCCCCCGGCTGGCGGGGCGGTGCGGCGGCGGTGGCGGCGGAGCCATGCTCTCGAGGAAGGGCATCATCCCCGAGGAGTACGTGCTGACCCGGCTGGCCGAGGATGTGCCCGATCACGCCCGGTACCGCGCTCGGGAGAGGCGGGCGCGCTTCGTGGGCAAGAACGGCGCCTGCAATGTGGCCCACAAGAACATCCGCGAGCAGGGGCGCTTCCTGCAGGACGTCTTCACCACCCTGGTGGACCTCAAGTGGCCGCACACGCTGCTCATCTTCACCATGTCCTTCCTGTGCAGCTGGCTGCTCTTCGGCATGGTCTGGTGGCTCATCGCCTTCGCGCACGGGGACCTGGACCACAGCACCCGGCTGCAGCGGGACCCCGCCGAGGGGACGGCGGGCTCTGCGGCCGCCTTCGTGCCCTGCGTGACCAGCATCCACTCGTTCACCTCCGCCTTCCTCTTCTCCATCGAGGTGCAGGTGACCATCGGCTTCGGGGGGCGCATGGTGACGGAGGAGTGCCCGGCCGCCATCCTGGTGCTGATCGTGCAGAACATCGTGGGGCTGGTGATCAACGCCATCATGCTGGGCTGCATCTTCATGAAGACGTCGCAGGCGCACCGGCGGGCCGAGACCCTCATCTTCAGCAAGCACGCGGTGATCGCGCTGCGGGAGGGCCGGCTCTGCTTCATGCTCCGGGTGGGCGACCTCCGCAAGAGCATGATCATCAGCGCCACCATCCGCATGCAGGTGGTGAAGAAGACGGCCAGCCTGGAGGGCGAGGTGGTGCCCCTCAACCAGATCGACATCCAGATGGAGAACCCCGTGGGGGGCAACAGCATCTTCCTGGTGTCCCCGCTCATCATCTACCACGTGATAGACAAGAACAGCCCCCTCTACGACATCTCCCCCATGAACCTGCACCACCACGAGGACCTGGAGATCATCGTCATCCTGGAAGGGGTGGTGGAGACCACCGGCATCACCACGCAGGCCAGAACCTCCTACCTGGCGGACGAGATCCTCTGGGGCCAAAGGTTCGTGCCCATCGTGGCGGAGGAGGACGGGCGGTACTCGGTGGACTACTCCAAGTTCGGCAACACGGTGAAAGTGCCCACGCCGTCGTGCACTGCCCGGCAGCTGGAGGAGGACAAGAGCATCATGGACACCATGCCGCTGTCCCCCAGAGGCACCATCAGGAAAAGGTCTGTCAAGCTAAAGCCCAAGTTTACCATAAGCGAGGAGCCTTCCTGATGCCTTCTGACTGGGAAACTCTGTTAGGGCTTTGTGTCTGAATGATCTCATGAACTCAAAACACTGAGGTGGCCTCTTACTTTTTTTTAAAATTCAGGTTGGTAGCACAAGGTATGTTCTGGTGTTATTTATTGTGGGAAAATCTAAAGCTAATTATATTTTTTTAAAGGTGTGAGAGATTTCAAGCAGAACTGGGAGTAGGGAAAATCATGGTCTGCAGCTTTAAATTTCAATTCAGACTATTTAATTGCACGATCATTTTGCCTTGATTCAACTGCAGGTAATGACACATTTTCTCAAAAATAAATGTATATTTATCCTCAGAGATTGCAGGTTTTTTAGGATCTTGCAGTGTTTGCAAGTCAGTAGTTTTTAACTGGTGTTTTTTTTCCTAACTTGAACAATCAATATAGCAAAATAAAATATTAATAATTAATAAAGTAGGCTGGATTTAAATGATAAAAAAAGGGTCAGGCAATGGCAGAAGACCAGATCTGGAAGTGTCTCTATATTATACTGTATGTCTCAAAGAAATTAACTGCTGGATTTGCATCATCCATATTGTGTTGTATGGAGCCACTCCTACCACATGCAGTATGAAATGTATTTGAGTATTTACTTTTGTTTATTTTAAAAGCCGTTACACTTCCAAAATAAAACATTCAGGAATACTTTTTTGTACTGTACATTTCTGAAAGTAAGCAATGCTTTGCCTTTAAAAGGAGTAGCAGATAATATACAGTTGAAATAAATTATTAATAGGAAAATTCTGCATTTTAATTTCAAAATGAAGAGAAGCAACATTCCCTCTCTCCAAGCCACATGGCAATAGGATATTCAGTACAAGAATTAACCTCTCCCTTGGGTCACGGTGAATTCTGCTAGATAATCAGGGAATAAAAATAGAATTACATATTTTGAATGAAAGAACAGTGCTGAATGCTGAAAACATATCTGCATGCAGCAGGGAAAACCTTTTACTCCTTTCCTTTTTGTAAAAGAAACAAAGGTTTTTTGTGCTCAGGGGAAGGAAGGGTGCATAGGACAGCGTGTTCACTCCTGGGATGCTGTGTCAAAAACATTACTGCTGCTGAGGAAGCAATTCCTGCTCCAGTCTCATCCTGAGCTCCCTGTGCAGCTGGTGCCTGCCTTGGCTTTAGCTGGCTCCAGGATCTGTCGTTTGCCAGCAAACAAGGAGCCATGTTCACTCTCTCGGTCCCACGGTGACAACAGGAACAATTCCCCTTCACCCACTCCTGCAAATCCTCTCTGGAGCTCCTGGTAGCAGCAGCAAGTTTATTTATTATTGGGACATGGCACCAGCATTAGCTACAGAGCAAACTGCCCCCAGGTAAAAAACATACAATGTCCAAATGAAACCTATAGAGGCATCACAGAGCTGATCCCACACCTGGTTTTACAGGCTGTGCAGAGAGAACCAAGCTACTTTAAACATCATTATTCAAGGAGGATCTAGTGTCAAGACTTGTGTGCTCTGTAGTTCGCAACAGACACCAAAATCGTTTTTGTTGGCAATAATATGGCAAATTTCTGATGGCTTGTCAGTGTAACTGTATGACACACTCATTCAAAAGGGTAAGAAAACTTCCACAGTGACTGTGGAATATTTTCAGACATCTATAATAGAACTATCAATGTTTGGGTAAAATCAAGTATTGGGTTAAAATGAAAAAAACATTTGTTATGTTTTTGGTGTTTATGTATTTTGGTTTTATGAAGCATTACCAGACTGCTAGTTACAGGAATAAATGCCTGCTCAGTTTCCAAATCCCCAGTACACCTATATTATTCTGTGAACAGCTCTGAAAATGTGAAATGAATTTCACAACAAAATGACAGTAAAATTAGCATTAGCAAGTAGTCAGCAAAGAGAATTTGGAAGGGCACATTTTATATTATAATCATACCCCTCCCCCTGCTTTTTTAAAATAGGGCATGATTAAACGCCTTACGTGATTAAATTTCTTCTGTAAGACCAAGTTGATTTGTCACATTATTTTCTGGCTTTCCCTTTTTCCTGCCCCTGTCTCCCATTGCCTGTCAGAGGGCACCTACAGTAGAGCTCCCTGCATTTCCCAGGCACCTTTGAAAGTTCATTGTTCTTTATCACTTGCCACAAAATCACTGCTCTGTTCTCACAAGAGTCATACACAAAACATTAGTTGGCTTTCCAGTGACTTGAAATCCTTGGCCTGTCCCTGGGTCTCCTTAGTGCCTTATTTCAGTGTGTGAGATGCACCTCAAGGTTCTCTCCTAAAACCACTTCAGCTCTGGCTGCAAATCTTCTCAAGATTTGACCTAAATGTGAAGCAGTTTCAGCAGCAATACCCTGCAACTATTTTCAGGGACTGATGCAAGCTTGTTTTTTGCCCTGGGGAAGTCTGTGAAGGTGAGAGGTGGAAAATTCTCTTTGTTCCCTGTGAGATAGGAGGGGAAGGATGGGAAGAAACAGCTTCTGTTCACTGGGCTGCTGTCAGGAGCATCTTTCATGTCATTTCTTTTTCAAAAATCTGCCTGATTCTTCTGAAGTCTTGCAAACCAAAAAGGATCATAATATTATGAGGAAGGAAGGATTTGTGCTGTTAAGATCACCATAGTGAATTATTTGAAGCAAAAGAGCTGGTGATTTTGAATTTCAGGATTGTTGTGATATAAAATCCTTCTGTTCTTTCACCATTTCAAATATTCAGAAGCATTTTGGGGGCAGAGCAAGGAAGGATGCGTGTATTTATTTTGCACTAAGGATATTCTTTTTGGGAATCCTTTCAATTTGTCACTTACGAGGTATTTGGGAGCACAGGTATCTGAAATGGTGCTCAGAGCTCTCCTTCTGCTGCCCACCCCCATTCTCCGTGGGAAGGCTCTGAGGGAGGCAGCAGTGCCATCATTTGTACACAGAAAAGTCCTCGTTCCCAGCAGTGAGCAAGCACTGTGCTTTCCATGGGTGAACTCAGAAGTGAGTGGGCTTCTCAACTTGCTTTCCCAGCCCGCGTCTCTTTTGGGAGGCGGTGTCACGGTTTGGATCCCGCAGAGCTGTGGCTCCCACGTGTGCTGGGGGCTGTGGGGGCAGCTGGAGGCTGCATCCCCTGCTCAGGGCCTGCCCTGCCCGGGCTGTGCACATGGACACGGGCAGGGAGCCCAGGGAGTGCATGGAATTGCCTGTTGTGTGCTCCAGGAGAGCACGGGCAGTCTGTGCTCACAGGCTCACACTGTTCATTCACTGCTTTTGAGTTTTGGAGCTGCTTGGATGGGAAGCAGGATCACAGAGCTGGTTACTCAGAAAGGGAGGCTGCAGAACACCTGGATGTCACAGCTTTAAAATACTTACAGTGACTGCTGGTGGGCCACTGGGCATCTCAGTACATGTTGCATTTCCTAATGAAATCCAAACATATGTATACCAAATTAGGTTATAACAGGGTCAGAATTTCTGTCTTTGTCCCTCAAGGCACATGATAAGTGCAGTGTTACAGCAGTGTGCTTTGGTGGGACATGGCCCTGTGAAATAGATAGAAGCCAGAAGTGAACTGAAGAGATGGCATTAGAAGGGAAAAGAGAGTCGGGGATACAGAAAAAATACATCTAAAATGCAGAAGTTACACAGTGTGGAGACAATGGCAAGCAGTAATAAACAATTTTATTTTGAAGCGCCAGCAAAGGTGTGACAATGCTCAGATGAGAGATCAAAGCCCTAAAAAGCAGATATGAGAGGCTGCAGTGAGAGTCTTTAACAAGGCCAAGGTCTGCATGCTAGCACACATTAGCAACAGGGTCAGTGTCAAAATTCAGGCTGCCCTGAAACGTGAGCCTGGGCTGGGCATGGCCAGCGTTGCTCAACCCAGTGGGTAAATATTGCTGCTTGTTGAGCAAGGTGGGAGCCACAGCAGGGCCCTGCTGGGAGCAGTGCTAGGAGGGCTTGTGGGGGCCTGACCCCTGTGTTAGTTATGTATTAATAGCTAATAATATCAAACTAATGAGTAATTAACAGCTCTTGGAAAACTGAATTTGTTTCTCTGTGTTTTCCTTCCTTTCCCACTCTTTGTACCTCAGTCACCCCTGAAGGTAATTACTGTAGGTATGCTAGCATAGACTGTTATTATTTGGGACAAAGCACAAACATGTTTTGGGGAGTAAAATACAAACTTAAAGTAGATACTAGAAACCCAAAAATTTCTGTGAAACTGCCCAGCTTGCAGCTTTCACAGTGATTACTTGTACAAAGCATGGGAATATCCATTCTTAGGTTATTGATGAACCACCATGGGTTTTGTGCTCCCTGTTGTTCATTTTGCAGGTCTGAGTGGAAGGGCAAGTGTTTTGGCTCTTCAGAATAGGGTTAAGGAGAAGTGATTGAGGTTCAAAATCACTGCATTTAAGGCTCCCTGGTTACACCTTTTGTGCTCAATGTCATCCTGGCATTCCCACTAAAAATGGGCAGGATAAGTGCTCTTTGCAGGGCATGTTCCATGTGGAACTCCATCAATCCAGGGCCAGCTGCCCCATTCCAAGTGGACATCTCCAACCCAACAGCCCTGATCCAACATCCTGGAAGGCAGCAGGAAACTTCCCACCCATTTCAGTGCATTTCTGGATCCACAGGCATCATCTGCCAGGCTGCTGGGAGCACGTGCTGAGGCAGGGAGAGGATTTTCTCCTCCTGGAGCAGGAGAGCTGTGGAGGTGAGGAGGAGGCCTGGGGGAGCTGGGGACACGTGCTCAGCGTGGCCAGGCACTGCCTGTGACTCAGGGCTCTATTTTTGATTCAGCAAGGGGAGAAAGACACGTGATACAAACCTCCCCACCCCACCGAGGAGAACTATTAAAAGAGCAGAAGACATTCCTGAGAGGCTGCAGATGCTGCTCTGTCCTGCTCTGAGCGCTGCAGGGTGCCTGCAGAACACGCTGCATGTTCTTCTGGCTTGTGCTCCTGTTTTAATTTATAGTGTGACTTTGATGAGTTATCACAGGGCAATGACTCTGTGAAACTCTGTTCTGTTTGAACAGAATTTTCAAAAATCAGAGCCTGCAGCTCCTCTCTGCCGCTTGCCCCTGTTACATTTGTGCCTGCCTTACTCAGGAGTTGAAATGCAGATGGCACCACTTGGGGAGGTTTCCTGGCCAGCTCCTCCCTGCAGGGCTGAGCAGCAGTAAATGGCAATCCCATCACAACTGGGGGCTCTAGGGGTGCCTCGTGGCAGTGCCCCCGCACAGAACCTTGTCCCCTCTTCCCTTCCCTCACTGGGAGTGGGGCTGCCACCCTTTCCTCCTCCAGCTGCTCATTCAGGTGGCCAATACTTGCTTTGGAGCTTTGTCTTTGCTCTCTGCCCAAGGGAGGGGAGGCACAGGATGTAAACACCATTATTGTTGTTGTTATATTCACCATAATGTTATTCCTGAGTGGAGCTGGAGCACTGAAATTGACAGTGAGCATCAATGAACTTCAACTCTAGGTCCCATTCTAAAGCCTGGGCCTTCAAATCCAAGAAGGATTGCCAGGGTGTTCATTAGCACCAGGATTTCCCTCTTAGGGCTGGGCACTATTAGGTTAATGGGGTGGGCAGCTGACTCAAATAGCCTCTGATGGGGCCTTTGCTGCAGCAGTGATGTTGTTTCTCAGTTTCAGCAGCTCCTGGGAACTTGTTCTTCTGCCT